TGGGAGGAGAAGAAGAGGATTCATACCTTTCCCAAGGGTATTAGCACATAAGTGAATGTAATGGATTTGACTGGAATTCGAACTCGGCTCTCCGATTCCTCAATCTGGGCCACTATCCATTATTCTTTTTTCCCGCAGTAAGTTCACATTTCTTCCTGCGGTAGACCAGTTGCCATCCAAGGCTATAGAATCCGGTCTGATGGGGGAGGAAGAAGAGGATTCATACCTTTCCCAAGGGAATTAGCGCGTAAGTGAATGTAATGGATTCGACTGGAAACTCAGTTATGTGCCATACATGTTACACGCTTAGACGATCATGTATCTTTCGATACATGACTGACGATGCAGATTTTTTTCCCGTAATAGGTTGCCATTTCTTTCTGCAGTAGACCTGTTGCCATCCAAAGCTATAGAACCCGGTCTATCCTGCTATTTACCCATAGCTGGAGGGAGAAGAAGAGGATTCACATCTTTCCCAAGGGTATTAGCACGAAAGTGAATGTAATGTATTCGACTGGAATTCGAACTCGGCTCTCCGATTCCCCAATCCGAGAAGTACTGAACTTTATTTTTTCTGTATCAATAATTATTGCTATATGCTCTTTGTTCTCAAAGATTCAGTTCACCTTGATATAAATTAAATTATATAATTATACCTAGCATTATTATTTTGCATATATATATATATATATATATATATATATATATATATATATATATAAAATATATATATATATATATACTAGCAAGTAGAGCTCGGCGTTGCCGGAGATGTAACAGTAAGAGATAGATCAAGTATCGACCATCATAAAGACTGAAAAATAAAATTGACAAAGATTATTGTTTAAGGTTGACGGACACGCATGTCTTAATTAGTTTTTTTGTTTTGTTTTGTTTTTTTGTTTTATACGAATTGGTCAAACCCAAACTCAAACAAAAACACTGTTTTCAATCGTTATAAGTGTTTTTTTGTTTTTTCATTGATTAAGCAGACCTCACGTGCATTTGTCGTGTCAAGCAGCTTTCGTTTGTAAAATCTATGTGTGCATCATAAGTCTAATTGGTCTATGTAGAATGATAATGTATATTCATTTGTTTGTCTGTGTGTCTGAGGGGGGGGCATTTTTATTAATATTTGGTGGTTGTCCGCATGTTGATTTGGGAACCATTTTACGCCAACAACGGGAGTGTTCATAGTAATAGGAAGACATATTTTAGATCCTTTAAGCATGGATTTTATAAAAGTTGGTGACATAATATAGATGTTAAATATTTATCAGCATTCCCTCGAAGTATTTCCTACGTAAAAATGATATTTTTTTTAAAATTAGAGTAGCATTTATAAATACATAGGTAGAGAGATAGTGAAACCCAGTCTTTGAAACCGAGTTTTAAATCATCACTCCTTTAGAGTTCTGTTCGATTATTCGTCTACCTCATATGTTTTTTAAATAAATCAATCGATTTTTCTCTATCTGTTTGCCTTTCTATCTATCTATCGATATAAATATAAGTTCGTCTATTTATATCTGTTTAAATCCATTATGGCACAAATATTAGAACAATACCTATTTGAATGAATTAACAACATTAATCTAATCGTCTCAACGACGTGTGCATGGAATTAATCAGATTAGGATTATCGCCGTTCATTTCTGGACGTATTAACAATCAGCCGATAGTTTTAAGAACCAATTTTGGGCTCAAAGTGCTCCACTGACACGCGCAGTGAGCAGTTTAGAGCCCAGTCGCGAATTTTTTATTTAATTCTCGTCGGCGCACACAGCGTTAACTAAAATAATTAGGCGAATTAAAAATTCATGCTTGCTATGTTTTAACCTCTTCTCCGGCGTAGACGAGTGCATTCGTTTTTACCGAAAGTGTTTCATATAGACACGGACGAAGGAACACGTCCAAAAGATAATGTCCAAAAACCAGCTACAGACGTGTTTATACGTCGATCTTGATTTTTTTTTTTTCTGAACTTGAAACGAGTCCAATTGTTTGCTCACACGTCTGCTAGAGGTCTTAGCCACCGCTCGGATACTCAAGCTGTCTAGGTTACTATATTAAAAACAAATAAAAAATTCGTTTGAAAATACAACTCTTTTCCCAAAGTAACTGGTGAGTAAGGGGTTAAGACAGGAAATCGGTTGAACTGTTCCAAGAGCGTTACAAGAGTTTCATGTCCCGCCACCCAATCTGTGATAGCCCCCCCACACACACAACACACCCCACAATTCTACTACATCTTAATTTTCATAAGGTAGGATTCATATAAAATACAAATTTTATCGTGACTTAATTATGTACAATAATGGATCCGATGCAATATAGGTGAACAATTCAACGAGAAAAATTGAAAATAAATACAATATATCTAAATACGAAATTAGAGACATGTCATAATAGATGATTCCATCTTAAATAATTCAACAATGTCTTGCAGCAATTTTTAACATCAAGATCTTTCTTTTTAAGAAGAGCAAGCTGAATACCGACAGAATGTGAATTGAACATTCTTCGATACAAAACTCTCAGTAGGACGTCTATTATAACACAAACTCACTATCCTATCAACAGGACAGATGCAAGGGTCTCGTGCAAATCTAGAATACAGGAACTCCACAATTTTTATGAGGTAATATTCATATGAAATACAAATTTTATTTTAACCTAATTATGTACAATAATGGATCAGATGCAATATAGGTGAACAATTCAACTAGAAATATTGAAAATAAATACTATGTATCTAAATACAAATTGGAGATATGTCATAATAGATCATTCCATCTTAAATGTTTTGAGACAAGTCTTAACATCAACTAGAGTTGTGTCTTGTTAAAATGTTGAATAATTTTAACACATCATCATTATAGTTTTTAAAAAAAATGAATTTTATGTTTTTCAAAACTTAGCACGTGCAAAACAAATTCACCGATTTGGACGAAAAAGTACCTTTAATAGTCTGTTGTTTTATTTGTAACGCATATAAATGTAGGTTAAAAAAAAAAGCAAATTTTCGTAAGATAGCGAATTTAAAGAGTTTTACGTCATAAAATATCATTTTTTAAACGAAAATATTCTTTATGAAAAAAACAATTTTACAATCAAGTCCCCTGCAGAGTTGATGTAAATTCCATGAAACACCGAGTACGGCGAAGATTAGTGAACGTTTTCTTTTATTTATTATTGTTATTAAGGTTGTATTGCTTCATGTCGTGCCTGCGGTAAAAACAAACTGAAAACAGTGGTTCACTTCATGCTGAAGTTAAGCAACGTCGAGCCTGGTCAGTACCTAGATGGGTGATCGCTTAAGAACACCGAGTACTGAAAGCAACAATACTAAATAATACCAGTGAGTGAGTGATTTGTTTCTTTCGGTTTGTCAACCTTTTTCAGGGTATTTAAAGCCAGAATTATTTTTTTTACATTGTAAGATTTATTTGGAGATAATAATGATTTATTGATACGAGTCCCACTAATTAACACATAGCTGGGGGGAAAGGAGGTGGATTTATACCTTTCCGAGAGGTATTTGCGCGTAAGTGAAGATAATGAACCCGACTGGAATTAGAACTCGTTTCATTGATTTCCAAGCCATTATTTATCACACCAACTGCACATATAAGCATACATTACCTAGTATTATCGAGCCGTCACCCATGTAGGTACTGACGAGGATCCATATTGCTTAACTTCAGTGATTGTAGGAGAACCGATGTTTCTACTACCAAAATGAGGTATGAAGAAAAAGCGAACATCCTCGGGTTTTTTAATTTTGGGTTTTTTTTTGTTTGTACGTCTAATTGGTCTATGCAGAATGATAATGTATATTCGTTTGTCTGTCTGTGTGTCTTGGTGGTTGTCCGCATGTTGATTGGGGAACCTTTTTACGCCAACACCGGTAGTGTTCGTAGTAGTAGGAAGACATATCTTAGATCCTTTAAGCATGCATTTTATAAAAGTTGATGAGATAATATAGATGTTAAAATATTTATCAGCATTCCCTCGAAGTATTTCCTGCGTAAAAATGATATTCTTTTTTTTTTAAGTTAGAATAGCATTTATAAATAGATAGCCGTAAGCTAAGTAATACAAGAAATCCACAAAGGTTGGTAAACCGTAAAAAACAAATCATTCAATCATGCTTCTTATAAACACTCTATTGTCAAAGACTCGGTCAGTCAGTCATGTGCCATACGTGATACACGCTTAGGCGATCATGTCTCTTTCGGTTCATGACGGACTAGTCAGTTGGTTGCTATTTTCTCTGTGATAGACTTGTTGTCAACCAAGGCTATAGAACCCAGTCTGCTATTCAACCCATATCTAGGAGAGCAGGGATGGTTTTTGTGCTGTTATATACCGTACCTATGAACACAAATGGGTATGTCTCAATCATCATACATACGCTGGACACTATTGTTAGTGAGGGTAATATGGTGTTTAAGTAGTCCATCACTAGCAGTGGTTTACCTATTTCACGCCGCTGGCGAGTATTGTATTTTGTTGATGTTATAAAGATTACCATTTCATTTCCAACCTCCGTTTTGGTTATTCTTCATTCAGTGACCTTTTTCTAGGTTACAACATGAGCGAAAGGGAATATAACATATCCGACTGGAATTCGAACTCGGTTCTCTAATTTCTCAGTTCGAATGTTTATCCATTACACTGCAAACGAAAATGAGTCTTGATATTGGTGGCAGTGATGTGGTGGGTGATAGACGAATGTGTCAATGACCTTTATGACGTGTGTTCCAAAAGTTATTTACTTGTTTACTATGTTTACGGCTCATCATTCTGCTTAATCCCGACAATCTGATCGCGTGAACTTGCAGCCGTAAAACTAAATTGTGTTCACGTTGCAAAACAAAGCCTATGATGGTACGACCTTCCGTATCTTGCTTAACAGATACACTTGACCGATATCGTCGGCAAGGATTTTGGAGTGATCAACAAACTTCGATAAATGATCACTGCTAAAGCTCTCTTTAACGGCTAAGAAGGAAAATTGATAAAAATAACAATAATGGAAACAGACTAGATAGATAGATAGATAGATAGATAGATAGATAGATATGAATACAGAAATAAATAGAAACAGCCTTAGATAGATAGATACCTAAGGAACAGGCTAGATGCCTATGAACAGACTTAGATAGATAGCGAACAGACTAGATGCATATGAATAGATAGATAGATAGATAGATAGATAGATAACGAACAGACTAGATGCATATGAATAGATAGATAGATAGATAGATAGATAGATAGATAGATAGATAGCGAACAGACTAGATGCATATGAATAGATAGATAGATAGATAGATAGATAGATAGATAGCGAACAGACTAGATGCATATGAATAGATAGATAGATAGATAGATAGATAGATAGATAGATAGATAGATAGATAGCGAACAGACTAGATGCATATGAATAGATAGATAGATAGATAATGAACAGAGTAGATATATATGAACAGACTGAGATAGATTGATATGAACAGGCTGAAATAGATAGATAGATAGATAGATAGATAGATAGATAGATAGATAGATAGTATACACACGCAAAGACATATATATCTCCCGATGAGAATACCTGTTAAAACTCAGTTATAGGTTAAGTAGCAGCGCGGTGATCCATGTAGGTACCGATCTGATTCGATCTTGGTTTACGCCTCCTGAGTATACGCGTACAGAGGAGCGAATCTCTTTATCAATGCTTGCACACACGTAACAGCCAGCTCGACAGGCCTTTCTCTTTCGTGCAAACACAAGAGGGAAATTAATTTATCTTAACAAGGCTTCATTAACAGATTTACGGATAAGCCCGCAAATCTCGAGCAAAACAAAGCTATTAATGTTTTATTCATTGATTGGTTGATGGATTATCTACTTCTCGTTAAAATGACAATCAGCTGAATATCTTTTCCGCTAAGTACATGCTGGAACAATTCGTTTTTTTTTTTTAAACAGTTCTATAATGTTCGAACAAGTAAAGCGTTATTCATATCTAGGCAGCGTTTTATCAAGTCAATGCCCTCACCCCCGAAAAAAGGATGCGGAACACAGAATTGGGACTGAATACGGGACAATTTGAAACCTAATCAAACGTGTTTTCAACAACAAAGATCTCAACTTAACAACACAAATTATGTTCTACTAGCAGCATGGCCCGGCGTTGCCCGTGCTTGCTTCAAAAATCGTGCGACTCATACAGCAATCGCTATCACTTGACTTAAAATATTTTTGCCCTTCCTTGCCTTTAAAGGAGAGCCCTTTGCCGTGCTGATGTTGCTACATGCCTTACTTCTTGCCTATCTCACACTGCGAATTTTTACTAAGCTCTATACTAAACATTAAATCTGCTACGAAAAAAGAACTAAACAAAATGAACACAAAACGATCAGCTTTAAAAAAAGGACTCGTAATTGGAAAAACCAAAATAAAAAAAGAATGTTAACAACAAATACTTTTTCACACCCAACCCAGTTCTATGGAATCAGAATCAACGTTGAGTTTAAGCAAGCGAATGAGCCAATTGGAGTAAAGTGCCATGCAGATTTAAATTTTTCCCACTTGTGACGAATGCAGCTATCGAATTTTTTGCATGCTATCATGCTAGTTAACATTCGTGTCAGTCAGCTGTTGGCTCTCAAGCTGGCCAATAGAATCTTCCTGCCTATTCGTGGCAGCCAGCTATAGGCTCTCACTCTGGCTAGTACAAAATGGCCGCAAACTACATGAAAACTGCCGAAAAAAATCGATTATTTCCACTATCGATGGGAGCTGTTTCCCGAGACGAGACTCTGCCCTTCCGCATAGCCTCATCTGGGGATCCTCTCTGCCCGGAGGCAGAGAGTTTGACCAACACAGCTGGAGATGAATCTTCAACTCTAGACTAATTCCCGAAGCAAGGATATCTACCAACCGCCTGACGCGGTCAGAGATGGCACAAGGCCGATTTTAACGGTGGGTATCCGAGCCCGTAGACTCAGCCAAAAATTCCCCGTATAAAAAGGTCGGGTAGCTGTCTCCCGAGACGAGAATCTGCCCTTCGACATAGCCTCGCCTGGGAATCCTTTCTGCCCGGAGGCAGAGAGTTTTACCAGCACAGCTGGAGACTGATCTCCAACTAATTCCCGAAGCAAGGATATCTACCAACCACCCCTCCGGTCAGATGTGGCATAAGGCCGATTTTAACGTGGGGTATCCGAGCCCGTAGAAAAAAAATCTAACTCACAGCACACGCACACATCCAGAAGGGCTAAAATCACCGAAATATATATTATGCAGAGCATTAGAGGAAATGTTAGGTGACTAAGAACACAGTCCTAGAAATGAAACACCGTTTCGATGGTCAGGACATGTAGTAAGAATGGAAGAGTCCAGGTTTCAACGCCAAGTCTTAATCAGCGAGTTCACTTGCCCTGAAAAGACCACGGGGTTGCCCTCTTCTAAGATACAAGGACCAAATTCAAACAACACTGGACTTGAGCCTAAATCGTTTGAAACACAAACACAAGACAGTAAAAAATCCTGTGGTGTTCCATCACCATCAGGACCAAAAACTTTGAAGCCAACAGAAGAGATGAAGATGTCAAATGCCAAGAGAGAAGGGCTCAAGAAAATCGACCTCGTCCTCCATCAAGATTACCATGAATTCAGTTTAGCCATCACCATAAAGAAACGCTCAGTAAAGAAGAAATTACATTCTTGGATGTGACAATTAAAGCCGACCACTTTTAGTCCAATAACAGGATAGAATATAGCTGTCATAAATTAGATAAGTTGTCCTTAACCAGGAGTTCACGCACCCTCTAGGGTTGTGGTATCGTTTTCTAGATCACTCCAGACCAGAGGTTTGCTTTCTTTGAAGCTAAAAAGACCAACTCAAAACAATACTGAAACCCACTGGACTTGAGCCTAAATCGTCGAGGTGACAATTAAAGCTGACCACGTATATATCCATCTATTCAATAACAAGAGAAAATATGGCTGATCAGTGTTTCTTAAATCCAAATCACAGAATTTATTGAATGGAAAGGCATGAAACTATATCTGCCCAAAACTGATTTAAACGTTGTCGATTACGATAATTTAAAACGCAAGGTAGAAAAAACCTAATTCATAATTTGGAAAAGTTGATTAGAAAAATTAATCGACACAAAATATCTTTAATAATATTTGCCTGAAAGAACATTTGCTGCTACGCAAATAAAAAAAAGATCAATTTGTCTTCTTTAAAAGGAATCATATCTTTTGAATATGAGTTATTCTTAAATGTGGAGTGTCACTTAATAATATTCTCTTAGGCGGGAAAGGAGAATGGTATTTTATTACTAGTAACGCGCCCTTGCGCAACATCTTCGCTGGTTTGCTTGAACGATCGAAGTCTGGAAGAATTGCTGAAAGTGGAGATTGAATGTGGAACCGTATTCAAAGAAGCTTGTAGAGTAACCGTGATATCATAGGTGAGCACGATTCGGTAAATTTGCTTTAAGGAAAGCAAATATCGATGTGAGATTAAGACATTTTCCAATATACAATCGATAACTGAAGGTTTTCTGTGAATTTCAATATCCGTCAACTTGGATAAAAATCTGTAATGCGCATGCGTGTGCAAATGTTATTTTTTTTACGTGCATCAAGAGCGTGTCTCCTTCTCAACATCCCGGGAAATGCTATGAATCGAACAGTGTTTAATATACCTGCCGCTCTTCAGACTGAACTATGGTGTTTACAAGATCTGATTAAAAAAGTGGACTAGCGCTTTAAAAGGAAAAAAAACTACAACACATATTAATTCGGCATTTAATCAGCTTCGAAGTATTTCCGTTCTAAATTCATCCACCCTATTCATCATCGTTTCCATTGAGGGAAGCATCCCTGGAACTGTTTTTTTTTTTTTGTCAGACAGCAAGTAGCTTCCCATCGCATTGTCTTAGATTTACTCGACGACTTGAAATTTTGGGATTTGATTTTTGCAACAAAAAACGGGGAGGAGTGCAAACTGGACAATAAGCGAACCTATCTACTTATATATATATATACTCCACCGTGCCTCCTCTCTCTCTCTCTCTCTCTCTATATATATATATATATATATATATATATATATATATATATATAAAAGTGTGGATGGTCCTGCACGAAACCTTTACCACTATAATCAAATCTCATGTGGTGTTGTCGGGATGTCGGTTTCCTTGGAACTGATCTGCTTGACCCTCATACGTCGAATATCGACGGGAGAGTCGACTATATATATATATATATGTGCGTGTGTGTGCAAACTGCAAATTCAGTCAGTCAGGTATGTGCCATACGTAATACATGCTTAGGTGATCATGTATCTTTCGATACATGACACACGAGGCAGATTTTTTCCCTGCCATTTCTTTCTGCGGTAGACCAGTTGCCATCCAAGGCTACAGAAGAGGATTCATACCTTTCCCAAGTGAATGTAATGGATTCGAATGGAAAGTCAATCAGTTATATGCCATGCATGATACACGCTTAGGCGATCATGTATCATTCTGCCTTGATTTTTTCCCGCAGCAAGTTGCCATTTCTTTCTGCGGTAGACCAGTTGCCATCCAAGGCTTTGGAACCCAGTCTGTCCTGCTATTTGACCAAGAAGAGGATTCATACATTTACCCAAGGGTATTAGCACGTAAGTGAATGTAACGGATTCGACTGGAATTCGAACTCGGCTCCCTAATTCCTCAATCTGAGCTGCTATCCATTACTCCACCATGCCTCCTACAAATTAGGAAAACAATAGGATTTTGCCTGCATTAATTTTCTTCAAAATGGCTACGTGCCTGAGCGACCGCGCTGTGATTGGCTGAAATTAAATCACGTGTGACCTGACGTGTTCTCATGCAGACGTTTTTCTTTCTTTCTTTCTTTTTTTTTTTTTCATTTTTACCACTTATTGATCACATATTACACAACCCTCCTATCAACTGAGATTTCTATTTCGATCCTCGTTGTGAGCGCCAACCCATTTACCTACAATTTTCCCGCCCAACCTTGAGTCCAAACAAACCAAACGCTTAGTCAGAACACCAAGATTTAGCATCGGAACTCGTATCGACATCGAAAGAAAAATAAAATAACAACCACCAAAAGTTGCCAAGCACCAGTAGCTGTTATGGAGAACGAGCCCAGTCGTTCGCCTACTTGAACATATATTATTAGTCCCCCGCAGGCCACGCCAGGCTTGGTTACTATGGCAACCGAGATAGAAAAGACAGTCGCATATCTCTGATTGGGTATCTAATAGCATTACTGAACCACGCTTGGAGAACTATGCCTAAGGCGACATTCCATTATTAATCGTAGTTATTAAATAGACACTGGCTCCAATCTAGATTTAGGTATTTTTTTCTTCCTCTAATGGCATGAGAGATCTTTGTTTGGCGAAACAATTATAGGCGCGAAATTTGAAAATAGAACGCCAAATTCTGTTGCATTTATTTCCTCAAAAATCCCCCCACCCCCGGGAAAGGCAAGTAACTGTCTCTTCCGCGCGCCCTCACCTATGGCTCAAAATAGCAGAAAATGGAGCTCGCATATACGATACATCGCTCAAGATGCTGAAGAAAAAAACGGTCGGCTCCCTGGGCCGCCCCAGAAAGCAGCTAACTCCTGCCATGCTCTGACAACAGTCAGATCAGACGAAAAATTGTGTATTGCTGCTATATCTAGACTCGAGTTGCCTGATCTTCGCTCGATCGAATTCAAAAGCGTTAACGCGGCTTTGTAGTTTTTGTTTTCAACCCTACAGCCCCTTTCCCACAAACGAAAAATTGCCAGCCTCTTGCTATTCTATCGGTATTTTTATGAGAGATTTTCGAGCGAACTAAATTCCTTGGTCCCTCCAGTTCAGACCTTCACAGCTAGGACGCCCCCCCACCATGCCAGGTACATTGTTCGTGTTGTATAAACGCAGGAAAAGGTAAGAAATGCAGAATATGTAGGATAGATAACGCTTAACCCTGAAGATGTTAATATTGTAATGATCGGGAAAGCATCCTCTTGGGAGTCTGTTCCATAAAGCAGACGAGAGTTCATCATTTACCGTGAAAGTATTTAGAGAAACAGCATAGGGAAGCAATATTAAGGAGGTAGGGAAAGTGACGTGTCGAGATGCTAGGTCAGGACCAATAACATTGCAGATTCTTCTTTGGATTCTATCAAGAATCTTTAAATATATAGCAGGAGCACCAGACCATATCTGGCTTCAGTATTATACGAATGGTTGATCACAGGGTGATCCGAAAGTCTTGTCACCCGTAGATAATCTAATTTTCCTTTTCAACGCTCTGTTGGGTATTATCAAGGAGAGAGTTTCACGTGAACGATACCAGAATCCTCATCAGTTGGAGGACGTCGTTTGGAGAGCCTTTGCACCCATCAACAAAGCACAGCTTCGTAAATTATCACATAGAAGATGGCGCCGCATCATTTTTTGTCACGAAAATGATGGATGTTCATACAGACCTTCTCGATGTCGGACAGCATCAATGAAAGGGAATAAACTGAATCCAGTACATTTGCTTTGTATTACTGTATTACTTGTTCTTCTCTTGTTCTCATTACTTTTTTTAGTAGGGGATGACACAATTTTCGAATCCCCATCAAGATCAGTGATTTTTCTCTCATATGTCAAATGTCTTATTGAGTTGGATCTTTTCTAATTGATCTCTTTAGCTCTAAGTTGACATGATGATCCCTCTTCCTGTTTTAACCTCCTGATAAAGTTTTCCTCTCAACTGTTCCCTCTTTTTTTAAAACTTATTCACCATTCTCTTGATGGTTCTTGAATGGACTTTGAAGATGGAAGCCAGAGTATGAATGTTGGTACCATTACTGAAGGCATGAATGATCTTTTTCCTCTAACCATTGCTCAGTTGGTGAGATATAGTATGGCTGACATAAACTGATTTTAACTTGAGAGTTTGTCTATATTTCTGAGATGAGGTATTATGTACAGTATTTACATTAGTCGGACTATTGTCCTCATCTTTGTCGCCATATTTGTCACAACGTTTCGGCCGTTGTACGCTCCGGCCTTCTTCAGGTGGTTGGAATTTCGAACTGAACCCTTTATTTCGATCACTGGGGTAGACTGTTCTAATTCCACGTGCCATGTTTGATGGATGTCAGTTATCAGTTATCTCCTGCTAATTTTCCCTCTGAAAGTTCTCCACTGCCTTAACCAGGAATTGAACTCACCTTCTTTGGGTCTGTCACTGGATCTAACCAACGCCTTTATCCACTGTGCCATGTGTCAAGGCAGTGGAGAACTTTCAGAGGGAAAATTAGCAGGAGATAACTGATAACTGACATCCATCAAACATGGCACGTGGAATTAGAACAGTCTACCCCAGTGATCGAAATAAAGGGTTCAGTTCGAAATTCCAACCACCTGAAGAAGGCCGGAGCGTACAACGGCCGAAACGTTGTGACAAATATGGCGACAAAGATGAGGACAATAGTCCGACTAATGTAAATACTGATTTTAACTTGCTCTCTTTCTAGCTGAGAAACTCCAAGGGTTTTTCAGAGATTCCTATAACAGATTGTGTCAAGATGGCTAAACGTCTTATCTGAGTACCTGTAAAAAAAAGTTTAGTCGCTTTTTAAATCAGTGATTTTCAACCTTTTTGTTGGAGCGGAACCACAAGGAAACATACCAGTGGCTCGAAGAACCCATGCAATAAATTAATTCTCTTATGCAAAAAAAAGCTTTCAATTATTAAAATAAAATCAAAATACTCATCTTCAGATTTATTTACAAAAAAATACAAAGACAAACTGTAAAAATATTATATACGTACATATGCAATTTTACTCTTGCTTCTATGGTTATTACACATGTATAAAAAAAAAAACTTCACATTAAATGGATTACATTTATTTTCATTAAAAATTCAATGAGAAACTTGAGCCTGACGTTTCTTGCACAAATCTTTAATATTGGGTCGTGTTTTTGACAGACACACATGAAGTTCATCTTCTACATATCTGTAGAGGAGAATTAAAAATTACTTTCAATCATAGTACTTGTGTAACTTCTTGCGAAACCCCTGGGCTTTACTGGCGGAACGCTAAGGTTCTGTGGAACCTTGGTTGAAAACCCCTGCTGTAGATTATTCCGAGAAAAATTCTCTACTACGAACCAACCTTCCTATCAGGTGACCTAGCAATAGATTCAGTTTAATTTTTCCTCTTCTTATCAGTGGAAAACATTAGTCCGAGAAGATGCAACCAGTCACTTTCATACTTTACTCAGTCAGTTATGTTCCATACGTGATACACGCTTAGGCGATAGAACCCGGTCTATCGTACTATTTATCCATAGATGGGGGGAGAAGAAGAGGATTCATACCTTTCCCAATGGTATTAGCACGTAAGTGAATGTAATGGATTCGACTGGAATTCGAACTCGGCTCTCCGATTCCTCAATCCTAGTCGCTATCCATTATTTATTTTCCCGCAGTAAGTTCACATTTCTTCCTGCGGTAGACATTGGACATTAGCTTCTATCTATCTATCTATCTATCTATCTATCTATCTATCTATAATAATAAACACTGTTATTAGGGCTATATTACATGTGGTAACTGTACGACCCTATCTCGCCCTATCTATCTATCTATCTATCTATCTATCTATCTATCTATCTATCTATCTATCTATTTCAGTCTGCTCATACCAGTCTATCTATCTATCTATCGATCTATCTAACTCTCTCTCTCTCTCTCTATATATATATATATATATATATATATATATATATATAATTATAAAACGCAGATTGTGTGTGTGTGTGTGTGTGTGTGTGTACGTTTATATATTGGATCGGATTTCCCTCATTTTTCAACCGATTTCAACAAAACTTCACAGGACTGCCTAAAATTACCTTGCGGGGGTTCTGACAGCGCCCAAAACAGGAAAAACTCAATTGTTTTTGCACGAAATCAATTTGAAAACACGATTAAGTCGACAGAATGAAAGGGGGACAACTCATATCGAGTTATACTTATTATAAAACCCAGGTTGTTTGTGTGTGTTCATTTATATATGGGATTGGATTTCCTACATTTTACAACCGATTTCAACAAAACTTCACTTTTTTTTTTTTGGCAGGTAGTGTTTCTTATTGTCTTGCACACTTTTTTCTTTATTTTTAAATACAGAATGCTTTAAAAATTCCATTTACAAGACAATTGTTTAAAATAAAATTCTATTCAATCGGTAGACTCATAACGATTGAAAACAATGTTTTTGTTTCAGTTTGGGTTTGACCAATTCGAAAAAAAAAAAAAAACTAATTAAGACATGCGTGTCCGTCAACCTTAAACAATAATCTTTGTCAGTTTTATTTTTCAGTCTTTATGATAGTCGATACTTGATCTATCTCTTACTGTTACATCCCCGGGCAATGCCGGGCTCTGCTGCTAGTGTATATATATAATTCAATAAATAAATAAGGCGGCTTAATTCTGGCCGTTACTACATTGTAGGACTTTTCGTGACCAGTCACATGTAGCCCAAAGGTATGATCACGTTTTTGTGACTTGATCTGTCCGGCGTCGTCACTGACATCATGCTACGAGGAATGTCACCAAAGGTTAAAAAAAAAAAAAAACAGAACCTTTTGTAGATGCAGGGAAATCATTTAAATGTTAAGTGTATCAACAGAGGAGACGTCTTTTCATGTAGAACGACAATCTGTCTATATCTCTCCCAGTCGAGGTTATTATTTTGGTAAGGAGTGGGGGGGTGGCATTCATTACTTAAACATTCTATGACTGATTAGTATGTATTTGTACACGGAGATACTAAAATTACAACCTATTAATTCATCATCGTATCTCACACTCATGTTTCTACCAATTTTGTGTAGCTCTGTTTTATCTATTTCTTGATTGATAGGTAGATATTGAAGAGAATTAGATAGATAGATAGATAGATAGATAGATAGATAGATAGATGAAAGAATTAGATAGATATCGAAGAGAATTAGATAGATAGATAGATAGATAGATAGATAGATAGATAGATAGATAGATAGATAGATATTGAAAGAATTAGATAGATAGATAGATAGATAGATAGATATCGAAGAGAATTAGATAGATAGATAGATAGATAGATAGATAGATAGATAGATAGATAGATATTGAAAGAATTAGATAGATAGATATCGAAGAGAATTAGATAGATAGATATTGAAAGAATTAGATAGATAGATATCGAAGAGAATTAGATAGATAGATAGATAGATAGATAGATAGATAGATAGATAGATAGATATTGAAAGAATTAGATAGATAGATATCGAAGAGAATTAGATAGATAGATATTGAAAGAATTAGATAGATAGATATCGAAGAGAGATAGATAGATATTGAACAGAATTAGATAGATAGATAGATATCGAAGAGAATTAGATAGATAGATAGATAGATAGATAGATAGATTGATAGATAGATATTGAACAGAATTTGATAGATAGATATTGAACAGAATTAGATAGATAGATAGATAGATAGATAGATAGATAGATAGATATCTGAATGTAATGAGAACGAAAATAGCATAAATTCTAAAGTTCACAGTATTAATTCAAAAGAGTGCACAATAATTATTTATTATAACTTTTTCATATAGACAAAATTTACTCAATAAAAAGATGCAACTTCGTTTCGGTGCATTTAGTTGCACTTCGACTGGTGAGGTCAGAGATTCATAACCATTTTGGTTCTCACCAGTCGAAGTGCAATTAAATGCATCGAAACGAAGTTGCATCTGTGTAGTGATTAAATTGTTTTTTTGTCTATATGAAAAGTTATAATAGCTCGACAGATAGGAAATTCCAATGTAACGAAGTTGAATGATAAAACCTTATAAAAATTATAGAATGGCAAATTGGACGATGCGAGGAAAATTTATCCCATCGGAGAAACTAATATCTCATTGTTAGTGAGACGTTTTCCGTTTCTTAATGAAGCAAAACGAGGCGGCAGAAACATTCGAAAGTCAACGGCTGAAATGCTGTGGTTTCGATGGCTGAAATAATGAGTAAGAAACAAAATGGGCTGAAACTCTAAGAGCTTAGGTATAGACGAGTGCTCAAATAATTAGAACGGAGAGAACTGAAATGAAGAATGAAAAACAAAGCTGGCGGAGTTGGCTAGAATCGTTTTGAAGCAGGCAAAATGACAGCGTGAACGGAAGCCAAAATATATGGTCACAAAGAAGAAATTATAAAAGAAAAAAAAAAGGAAAGCTAAATAAAGAAAGGCTGGAAATAAGTTAACAATGGCATCAAAATACACAAATGCAACGGATTCGTTCCTGGTAGGGCACGTGCGCGTTTCTAAGACACGTGGGCCGCAAGTCGGAGTCGTCGTTGATCTGTAATCTAGACAAGATTTACGGAAGGAACCAACAATAGCCGGAGTCGGGGGTAGTTGTTGAGCGTGATGGGGAAACGGGAGAGTCGAAAAGCAGGAACGGAATAGTCGAAAAGACAACAGTAACAGTCGTGACGCGAAAGTCGATAGAACACACATACACACGGACGTAAGACAGAACGAATCATTGAGAATATGATTGAGATTGTGGAAGGAAATGTAGGTCGATGCCGGCGACTCCGATTTGGACTGTGGCCTGAAAAATAAGCGTTGGTGTTTCAGCTGGGGTCGGGGCGATGGGCGTGTCGCTTGACATTAACGGTTAAATAAGATTTGGAACGGTCACTGGAATGGAAAGAAGCTGGAGAAAATGACAGATTATGGAACAGAACCGATGGTGGCGGTTGCTTTCCCAAGACGTGTTCTCCTTAGAGAATGGTAAACAAAATCAGAACAGGACACGGAAAATGAAAAGAGAGATTTATCTTAGAAAAGATTCAATATACGGTTTCTTAAAAGTATGCGTTCTTGCTTCTACCGGTTTGATTAATTTCAGAATCTAAGAGGGTCATCCCCCATCACAAGCAGTATCTATCCTTTGGGAGGAGGCTGGGTTTATGGCCCGGTATCTGAGGCGTCCCCAAAAGGGGAAGTGCCTAGGAAGTTTGGGCAATTTTTTCGCATTCTATTGCGGTTAAACCCACTTTAAAATAGCTACGTGGTCGCACTATAAAAATGCATATACTGAGTTTGATATAATTCTTGCCATTTTAGATAACCTCCATCTTGTATTTTCACTGGATGAGATAAGATGTTTTGGGAAAAATCATTTTCAAACAAAGAATTTCATTATCCAACATCGTTCAGATGTTCAAGTAACATTGCATATTTTTTGGTAATAAAAAATTCCAACAGACCGATTCTTTAGCTTTCGTTCGCTTTAATCATTGAGAAAAAGAAAATTAACGAATTTGTTTATATTTACTTTCTTCTTTTTTTTTTTTTTAATCATTTCACCCCAAGCAAGGTAATAAAGCCACTAGGACGCAATGAGGTTACTGAGCTATCTGTCTATATTTCTGAGATGAGGTATTATATATACTATTTACATTATTCGGACTATTGTCCTCATCTTTGTTGCCATATTTATTACAACGTTTTGGCCTTTCAGTATCTGTCTATATTTCTGAGATGAGGTATTATGTATACTATTTACATTATTCGGACTATTGACAGATACTGAAAGGCCGAAACGTTGTAATAAATATGACGACAAAGATGAGGACAATAGTCCGAATAATGTAAATAGTGCACATAATACCTCATCTCAGAAATATAGACAGATACTGAAAGGCCGAAACGTTGTAATAAATATGACGACAAAGATGAGGACAATAGTCCGAATAATGTAAATAGTGTACATAATACCTCATCTCAGAAATATAGACAGATACTGAAGGGCCGAAACGTTGTAATGAATATGGCCAGAAAGATGAGGACAATAGTCCGAATAATGTAAATAGTGAGGTTACTGAGCGTTAGAGAATATGCAAAAAACTACTATTAAGGTACGAGGACAATAAAAGAACAAGAATTATGAAAACCGAAGATTTGCAATTGCATTTAAATTTTCGAGGGATCAATATTGACTGGAAAGAGAGTTTTACAAGCTATACACTCCTATTTTCCTCATAGCTGAAACACTCCGATTACCACTTGAAAATATTAGAAACATCATACATTAGGTCTACGCAGGCTTTTCTCTGTATGCAGAAGGAATGGCTGCTGGGACTTAATGTAATCGGAGTGTGAATATTTTTTTCTCTCTGCTGATTACCTAGCTGTTATTATTATTATTATTATTTTTTTTTTTGATGTTGTGCACACAATTTACACTCTTGTCCTTGATAGGCCCCGAAGTGCGAACATCGAAAACTGGTTAGTCTCTTTTGTTCTCTTTTTGTTTATTGTTGATATCATTTATATCCAGCTCTTTATGGTGGTTTTATTTGATCAAGTTTTCCCATCTTCCCCTCGGTCTGTTGTTGAATTTCTTTTCTTTCACATTTATTGCTATATATAGTTATATAAAATTTCAATATCTGCGTTTTTATAGTATTAATAAAGTTTTACAGCCTCCGCAGGCTATTTACTGGTCCGTACACTATTGTACTGTACAAGCCTTTAGAAATAAATTAGAATTGTTGCAAATAATGCAAACGTGACTTTAAAGCTAACGGAAGCTGGTTGACATAAGCCCATAGTGTCAAGCTTACGGCCGCATCATATCGAAACATTGGTTCCCGTACGATCACCGAAGTTAAACAACGTCGATACTGATCAGTACCTAGATGGATTATTGGATAGGAATACCAGCTGCTATAAGCTTGGATGTGCTTGTGGGGTCGTTTATAATGGCTCGGGATTGTTAATCGGAGAGCCGAGTTGAAATTCCAGTTGAGATAGTAATAAATTGTGGTTGCTGAAGACATTAGGTTAATAATACCCAAAATAGAGAAAAAATAATAATCACACTCCGATTACATTAAGTCCTAGCAGCCATTCCTTCTGCATACAGAGAGAAGCCTGCCTAGACCAAATGTATGATGTTTCTAATATTTTCAAGCGGTAATCGGAGTGTTTCAGCCATGAGTAAAATAGGAGTGAATAGCTTGTGAAACTCTCTTAAACGCAAGTACCATTGGAAGAGGCATGGATCCACATCCAGTTCAGTCCATTTTTCTTTGTTTCTTATCGAAATTTTTCCCTTTTCTTAATACTTTGCTTAGCTTTATAGTACTTGCAAAATCATAACTGCAATGAATGGTCATTAGTTTTCCGATGATTCATTAAGTTTATTTATATTATTTATTATCACCTGATCGCCTTCTGTATGGACGTTTGGGATGAGGACTTATCATTATTTGCATTAAGATTACTGTCTTCATCATTGTTGTTTTTATCACGTGGTTGCTTCCTGCCTGAAATTTTGGGATGAGGACTTATCATTATTTACATTATTTGCATTAAGACTATTGTCCTCATCTTTGTTGTTATTATCACATGATCACCTTCTACTTGAATTTCTGGGATGAGGAGTTATCATTATTCACATTCAGACTATTATCCTCATCTTTGTTGTTATTATCACAACATTTCGGCCATTGTTTCGGCCATATAGGTGGACTGATATTATATAACAGTTCTCTACTCATTTCTAAATATTATTAATACGGGAAATGAGAAAAAAATAGTGATACTTGTTCCCAAAGAAACGGAATATGGCACATGTCTTTTTTAATGGCTGAGTTATGTAATTTAGTTGATGAATGTGAGCAAAAACCTTCGAATTCTTTTAGACTATTTGTTTGTGTTCCGCAGTCATCAGACATTATCCGAAATCTTATTACTTCAAGGGTGTTACATCCTAGGAAAGCAGTTCCTTGGAATTAAATATAATTATTATTGGTCCTTCTTTATATTTTCTTGACACGAACATACAAGAATAAGGTAAAAAATTATTCGAGAAAATGTCTAAACTTGCTGTAGTGAATTTGGAGGATGAACTATGTAACGTAGGCTAACTCAAGCGAAGGTAAGCAATAAAAGCTATTACATTTTTCATAGATTTGAAATGTTTCTAAAAAAGTCGTCTATTGTAATTAATTTCTTAATATTTATATCTTATTAATTTCAGCCTTTGCGTTCTTCATTAGAACTTTTCATTTTAAAATTGTCGTCTGCTTCTTTTTTTTCTTCATTCTCTACTTGCCGTCTGCTTCTTCTACACATTGGACTTGGACGAATTTTTGCCTCAGGACTTTCATAAATAATTTGTTGATTTCCGCTTTTATTTAATTTACTTTCTATTTATTTATTTTTATTTTTATTTTCCGACTTAATTTTATTTAATTTATTTGTACACGAGTTAATACTCCAAGGATTGACGAATTTAAATAGATTGAACAATCTGTTTCTTTGACGTTATCAAATTATTCAGTATTTTCCACGTTTTTCATCCCTTTCTCGAACTTACTCCACCACGAAAAAAAAACATCATTTTTTTGTCTTTTTTTTTTTTAATTTCATTTTAAAATATTTCTGGGGAGGATATTTTAAGCCAGGACTTTACTTAACGTTTGAGAAAAATGTGTGCATATCGGCATATCACGAACTGGGCTAAAAAAAAAAAGTCTCATTACGGAGTTCTGTGCAGAAACGCCAGTTGGCTGATTGATTTTTTATTTACGGCTTATCAACACCGTGGGTTACTTAAAGCAGAAACATACCTCGGATTGCGGGATGTTGTTCCCCAACCCAGATAAAAACTGACAGGACCTGGTGCTATGTGGCAATAAAATAAGCACATCCCATCTTCCCTCTCGCTTGTAACAATCCACTCTTATAAAATAAATGTTTTTCAGCGCTAAAACTGACTTCCATGTGGCTAGTAGGCTTGGTTTGGTTTGTTTTACGCCATGTCAACCACAATGTGTTATTGTTATGGTGTTCTCCCTCTAATTAGTTTACTGTGGACTCTTCTACTTACTATAATATTAGTAGGAAAATAACCCTCGGGGGCGGGGACATTAGTATAGATTGAACGCTGGTCAACCAGCACACACTTCCAAGTCGTGTAATAGTCTTCTGTTGTATTTACTGTACAATACACGATTTATCTGCAATCTATTGCTTTGTTATTTCTTAACCATTTACTTGGTTATAACAGTTATTTAATGCCAACAAGATTTTTTTATTGCTGGTAATATTTTTTATCTATCTATCTATCTATCTATCTATCTATCTATCTATCTATCTATATATATATATATATATATATATATATATATATATCAGTATATATTGGTTTGATTTGTTTTGTTTTACGGCATATCAACCTCAATGGGTTATTTAATGCCGACAAGATTTTTTATTGCTGGTAATATTTTTTTATCTATCTATATGACTGTGAATGCTGGACAGTATTGACCTGCATATGACTGTGACATTTCGACAATATTGACTTGTAGATGACTGTGAAATGTTGGAAAATATTAACTTGTATATGACTATGAATGTTGGACAATATTGATTTCTACACGACTGTGAATATGGGACAATATTGACTTGTATATGACTGCGAATATTGGACATTGATT